CTCTGGCAGACAGCCGAGCCCAGGGCTCCAAAGCATCTGGGATCCTGGGGACTGATTTAACTTAAACCAAAAAGGGGCCTGGGACACAAGTTTCAAAAACCAGTTTGACTCAAGTTAGTTAAGTCTTATAGTACATTCAGCCAGGTTTGTCTTAAACCAGTTTCAGTCATTTTGAAACTGGTATCAAGAGGTCCTTTCCAGCCCTAAACCTCTGTGAATCTGGTTTATGTGCACTGAACTTATGTGCTGTTACAAGGTTAAATTATTTTCTGATTGCTTAAACTGGTTTGTGTGTAGCTTCTGTCCCTAGGTGTGGTATCCTTTGCTAGTGCCATGATCAAATAAAAGTACATAAATCACTGAATGCACTCATTCCAACTTTGTGTCGTGCAAAACTCTGGGTATTTTTGGTTTGGATGGGTTTTTGGTTTTAGAAAATCTAAAATCAAATCAAAACAAAAACCTCTTTTGAAGCCTTCAAAATAGTTTTATTTCCTACTCCTTTTATGTGGTGGGGCAGGAAAGGGAGGACTGTGACAGCTGCCGTCCCTTTGTTGGAGAGGTGGTGCAGACTTGGAGGTGGGCTGTGAGGAAAGGAGAATCCTTGGGTGTGAGGCGGTTGGTAGGAATGAGTGGGCAGGGAGTGGGAAAAGTTTCCTTGTAGCTGGATACGAGTGGAGGTTTGGGTGTCATGGATGGGGTTAGCTGAAGGGTTTCTTGTGTTGGAGGTCTTGGCAGGGGGGTGGTTGATGGGGGCAGAGGTAGTTGGAGTTCTCAAGTTTTAGGGTGTTGTTTAGGGAATCCTTTCTGTGGCTTGCTTTTTTTATAATAAGCTGCTCTGAGCCGTTTGGGTAGGGAAATATACAAATAAATATGAGTTGAAGAAAAGGCATGGGAGGAAGATTTCTACTTTAAGCTACCTCTTATAAGTTAGGGAATATGTCCTTTACATGGCCCAGTCTGTGCTTGGAACAGTTATTTCTTTTATCGCAAGTAAGCTGAGGGCCACACATTCACAGTTCTGTGCCATCCAGTGTTTTCCTCGCTTTTCTCTCTTTCCAGATCTAAGCTTAATCATTTTTATCAGCAGAAGTGTTGTACTGAGACTTGAGGAACTTAAACCAAAATTATTAAGCATGAAAACTGTTGCAGAATTGTCTATTTGCATTCTTCCTTTATTGCTGATCTCTCTGGTTTTTTAGAACTGGCAACACTGGAAAGAAACTGACAGCATTATCAAATTTGAAACTCGGTATTATTTTGTTGCAGTATGGTGAAGTAGTGAGTCTGCGAGTTCATGTGCTTATGGTGATTAATTCCAAAGGTCAGCAGCATCAGGTGTCAGGCTGCCTTTTTAGTCCATGTATTACAACAGAACAGCAGTAAGTCCAAAGACCTTTTTTGAAAATCCAAAAACAATATCTTTGTCAAGCTCTGCATCTTTGGTGAGCATCTTGCTTCATTTTAGGGATCCATACGGCATTATTTGGGTGAAAAAAGCATGTGTTGATGCAGTCATAAATAATTATCATTACATTGCAACAGAGGAAGTAACCTGAATTTTTCTCAGGTTCTCAGCATTAACAGCCACTGTTGGCATAAGAGCCTTGTTCCACCTTACGCTGTGCTGCACAAATGTTAATCGGCTTAGTGTTGTTTGGCTTAGTGAAGTAGTCAAACTACAGCTATGATTTGACAGTAGAGCAGAGGCAGGACTTGGAGCTGTGCGTGGCCCCAGCTGAAGGTGGCCCCCCATAATGTTCCGATCATTTTCCTTGTGTTTTTCTGTGATTAAAAACTCTTTGAGCCCCATAAATCTCTTTTCAATCTGGGGGGGTAAAATGTGGTTGAAGCACCCCCAGCAATACCCAGTGATTCCAGGACCCAATGCACACAGTCAGGTACCTGTGGCTGGATGGGTGGGTTGCTGACTGTGGGGAAGGACTACATGGGAAGTACCGTGGCTGCTGAGCTTTACAGGCTGCAGTGCTGGTTTTGCCCAGCAGGAATAGTGAGCTAGTTTGGACAGTGGCAGGAAGCACTGTAACCATCGGGTGCTCCTAGGCTGTGGTTCTTGATCTGCCCGAATTACCTGGGGGGCCACCTTCTGGATCAGCTCACTTCTTCTGCTGGCAAGAGTGAACATTGCAGCCTTGGAGCATCCAGGATATTGGATGGTGCCAAATTAGGTGGAATATCTGTTGCGAGTACCACAACTCCTGTTCCTTGTTCCTGTTCCATTAACAACACCTTAATGGAACAGAAGTAAGGTTATTTGGATTAGAGATAATCCTGCCCTGAAGTGGCATATATTTAAGGTGAATAACAAGAACTTTAAACTGCTTAAATGTGTTAACGTGCAGCAAGTCCAGGGGTTAAGCCCTCAAGAAGCCATCTAAAATTACTGTGTAACAAGGCCTTAAACGTATTCACTATTATTCTTGAGTATCTCTTGGAATAAGTACAATAGATACTTCTGACACATTTAGAGAATGCAGATACTAATTTTTAATGCCCATTATAAGCAGCAAGCATTTGAAAATTTAATCCAAATCATTAAAGCATGTTCAGTGAAGAAGATGTGAAACTAAAGTCTGGAACGTAGCCTATGCTTTACAAAGTGGGTAGATACCAACCTTTTGTCTTTGGCTCTGCTTCTTTAGAAAAAAAAAAAGATTTGGGGCAAAGGGATTATTAAGCCCTATTGGAAGTGTACTCTCAACTACCATTTCTAGGATGGTTTCTCAAATCGTCATTGCTTTTTATTTATTGGGCTCCTGCAATACTTGTAATCTGCAATGCTTATTATTCTAATTCAAAACTAATAACAAAATAAGTAATGCAACTTGTTAAAATAACTAATTTATAAACCTACACATTAATTTTTGTCTTTCACAGAATTTTGTTTTAAATTTTAAAATTCCAAGCAAATTTCCTCTGCTCAAAACTAATGTTGATTTATCAATAATAGTAATGAATTGGATGTGTTTGCATCAACATTTGTTTTTTATCTCCAGATTTGCATGCATTTTCAAGACATCCTCACACGGCAGTGAAGTTTTTCCATTGTTTAAAATTTATCCATTGTTTCTTACTACAAAAATGTTAATGGGCCCACTGCATAGACACAACATATTTATTCTGCAATCATTTCCTTTGGATTCTACTCCACAATAAATTTTTCTGTAGTAAAGTGCAGACACACAACTCTCCTAAACTTACTGCCTGAAGTAGGTGATATTATAATGTTTTGCAGTGAGGTGGCAAGAGAATGAAATTATATTAAGCAAATGGCCACCCCCTGAGTGAACTGACAGTGCAAGCAGATACAAAATAGGTCAGATACTGTTCCAACTACTGGGAATCTAAGAGGACTTAATCACCTAAAGAAAATTCTTTTTCAAATTCCTGAAAGTCCAGTAATGCATCTCATTTTTATAATATACTATCATCCCACCATTGAAACTGAGTATAAAGCAGTGAGGAGGAAGGGGGGGGGGGGGAGGGGGGGGGGGGGGGGAAGGAGGGCCAACCCAGCTCTGATATTAACAGATTTTCAGGGACTTGGGCATGCACTTGGGCAATCATATTCCACTCTGCTCAAGTCCACTTATGTGCCTAATATGTGGAATTGAATCTGAATTGAAAAATTATTTTTATATTGGAGACATGGGTGACTGGAACCTCCTGATTCTGGGGGGGGGGGCACCAGGCACCGATCGCTAACTTGGGGGGGGGGTCCCCCAGTGGCTGATTGCTGAGCCCGCAACCATCAGCACTTCCAGTATCACCACCGGCACTTCTCTTGCCTTGGGAGGGGAGGAGGCATGCCAGCCTTTCTCCCGGCACCCCCACTTCTAGGGGCCAATATCAGGGAGGGCATGTGCCCATACTCCTCCTATGCATAGCCAATGATTGGAAAACAGCATTTCCACTGATAGACCAGGCAGGAAGCGTGTGGCTGGCGGAGTCAGGGTTAAGGTTCTGGGTCTCTTTTAGACTGAGAAGCTGAGAAGTGCTTCTGCCCTTATGACTGTATGGACTATCAGCTGTGTCCTCTCCCTCCCTCCCTCCCTCCCCCTTGGGATGTTTCATGATACAGTTGGGGTGATGTAACTGAGAAGTGGTCCAGGAAAAATGCAAGAGGCAAGGATTTTTGTGGGATATATATTTTATTGGACCAACTGTATAGTTTGGAGGGATATAAACAAATCTTCAATCATGAAGACTTGGGAAGGGGTGCTTCATACCTAAAAGCTTGCCTCTCCCTCCCAATATAATTGGTTCAATGAAAGATACCACTTACAAAAATCATCACCTTTAACATTCTATAGGATTTTAAGCATGTTTGTAGTGCTACAAACAACTTGAATGGCTCTTTTCTTGTTTTGTAGCACTACAAAGCATGTTTAGCACTACAAATATAACACCTCTCCACAGTTAAATTACATAATTTTTTTTGAATGCCAGTTCACTTCTTGAGTTTGCAGCTGATTGTAACCAATCTTAAATTTCAAATAATTTTACATTTTGCTATAAAGTTCTTGTATGTGCCAAGTAAATGCCTGTGGTATTTCCATGTACTGTAAATCCATGCACATTCCTCTTGCCCAAGATAACAGAACCCTAAAAGGCCTCATGTTATTACTGAAAAAGAGAGTCCATGTTTGGGACTATAGATGTTTGCTTAGCTTTTTGGCAGAATGGAATTTTAATCTAAAGAACAAACTGAATAATGTCTTCCTTGCATTCTGTGTTTAATCCAATAAGCTCCGTTGTAAAGTTTTATTATGATGTTTTTGTCATTTTAGAAAGTATGGCTTATATTAAAACAGATGGCCAGATTCTAGATGGATATAAGTCTATATTAGTATAATTTATTTATACACTAGGGCTATTTATATGCTAGGGTTTAAACGTCCACACTGCATAAAAGCAAGTATACACCTAATGAGAGGGGATCCCTGGGGCATGTCTACACATGCATTAATGCACTTTAGTTAATGCACATTAAAGCTAATACTTCCATTCTGAGGTACTAAGAAAATGAACATATCAACAAAATCACATAATGATGGAAACATTTCCAAACATCCATTTTCAGAATGCACTCTCCATAGCATGAGTTTCTTTCGAAAAGCAGTTACTTTCTCACTCGTTGTTAAAATGTCACCTTTACCTTGAAGGGACAGATTAAGTGTTTTTATTTTTTCGAAAATGTCTGCTAGGTAGCATACTACTGACAGCCATGTGTCATCACAGAAAAGGTCAGCAAATTTGGAACACTTGTCTTTTTGTAAAAGAAAAATGCGTAACTCATCTTTAAGTTCGACAACTCTTTTAAGCACTTTGTCACGAGATAACCAGTGAACGTCTGTGTGGTATAAAAGATTTTCATGGTCACTCCCCATCTCATTACACAGTATTGTAAAGGTTCTACTATTTAAAGGTCTTGTTTTTATAAAATTAACCACATTGATAACATCCTGTAGCACTTTGTGCACTTCTGGCTCCAAATTCTTTGCTGCAATAGCTTGCCTATGAATGATGCAGTGAATGAATTTAATGTGTGGTGCTATCTCTGTAACCTTACCTCGGAATCCCTTTTTTATTCCAGTCAAAGCAGCCGTTCCATCAGTGGTTACACTTACACAGTTTTTCCATAAAACATTGTTTTTTTTAAAGAAATCATTTACTGTTGAGAATATATCTTCTCCAGTACATCTTTTCTTTAGTGGCTCAAAAAAAAGTAGTTCTTCGTGTATTTCATTATTGAAACAGAATCTAGCAAATACCATAAGCTGAGATGTATTACAAACATCTGTACTTTCATCCAACTGTATAGCAAACTTCCTACACTGCGTAATTTGTTCTAATACTTGTTTCTTCAAATCTTCAGCAATGTTTTCTATGCGTCTTCCAACAGTATTTGCTGACAAAGGAATGCATTTTAGTTTATCGCCATATTGTTTTCCATATATTATTTCAGCCATTTTTACCACGGCAGGAACAACAAGTGTTTCCCCAATGGTATGTGGATTTTTGTCTTTCGCTATTAAGTAAGAAAACTCGAAAGAGGCTTCTAAACATTTATCATTAAGTTTAGTGAAATTTTGTAAAGTACTGGATTGAGTATCACATGACTTTAAACATCGCTGAAAAAATTGTAGAGGTTTGCCTTCATCTTCTGGATGCTTAGTTTTTAAATGTCTTGCTAATCGTGATGGTTTCATACTATCATTAGCTAATATCTCAAGGCACAATGTACACTTAGGGCAAGGTTCATTGTTAACGATAATGGATGTAAATCCATATTTCAAATAGTTGTCTTGATAATTTTGAATTTTTTTGGCTGACTTCTTGTCATATCTGATTGGATCGTCATTGTTTTTACCTTGTAATGTGGCTGACGACGAGCTCGTATTAGGAGTAGGAGAAGTGTCAGCTCTGCCATTTTCTTGCTGTTCACTTGTGCTCGCATTATTGGTATTATCTTCAATCTGTGGTTTCTTTGCAGGAATCTTTTTAAGCCACTTGTCCATTTTGTGAGGGTTAGTTTAGTTAAAACTAAACAATATAATTTGTAAATCCACTTAACCAGGCACACGTAAGCTGCAATACTTCGCAATACGCTGAAAGCGAATGAACACTTCTTCCCTCAGGATACCTCACGTACCGTACATGACACGTGACCATCTGACATACAGAGTGAGGGCGCCAGTGTCAATCTGTATATTAAATATTAGTAAAGCTTAATTTCTTTCTTATTTTTTTAGATAAAAAATAAATAAAAATGCAAGTTCTAATATTTTCTTCGCGCACCCCAATGGATCATCTTGCGCACCCCCTGGGGTGTGCGCACCCCACTTTGGAGACCACTGCTTTAAGGAAAGAGAAATAAACTTAAGTAATGTTTGTTTGTTTTTTATAGCAGATCAATTGTAACAGTTTTAGTCAGGAAAGTAATTTTGAAAATTATACATTTGTAATGTGTGAAGACTTGTGTAATGTCTTTTTTGAGCCTTCTAAGACCAAACTGCTTACAGTATTTACCAAATAAAAGTACTTTCATTGCTGATACAATCCCTACAGAGCTGAGTACAGCTATTTTCTGGTTTGTCTCCAATACTATTAATATTGCCAGCTAAGCATTAACTCTAGAAATGGCACTTACAGGTCAAAATATTGAGTTTCTTCAGCACTGAAAATAATAAACCTTAATTGTGTAGGATCATTTTCTATGAAATGAAAAGCTGAGAATTCCAGCTCTAGAAAAATCAACAATTTTAATAATCACAAGGACGGAAGTTCTCTCATCTGTCACAGATTTCCAGACAGCAGTATGCATTTGTCTGTGCCAGAGTTCAGAGACACTTTTCTGTTTATAAGTATATAAGATATGATTATGGGACAGTGGAGGGGAGGAGAACACAACAATTCAATAGGCAATTAAAAAAAATTGAATAGCAATGTAAAATCTTTATTTGTGAAATTATTCAAATGAACACGTATAAAATCATCTTTTGATGTTTTCACAAGTCCATTTATTACTTGGGGAAAAATAATTAGCAGAGTATTTTAAAATAAATCGTCAATTGTTTTGCAAGGTAAGATTATCAACAGTAACCTTGACATTAGTCTTACTGTAAGTTCTGTTAGAGCTATATTGAGAAGACTGCAAACTTAAAAATAGCTTTCCTCTAAATAGGCAATCCAAAAGAATAGCATCATATTACATACATGACATATTCCATTGCAGAGTGTTTCACACTTTACTCCACACATGAAATGTGAAAACCTTTCTTTGATAGCTACTTTGTATATTAAATGAGGTTTAGTTGCAGCCAAGGATATTGGGGCCAACTGGTGTTCTTCTGAAACATATCATGAGGAATCTTTCACTTTTTGTTTTTATGTCTGTACCTTGCAACGAAATATGAACCAGTTTGTGTTGCACTGGTCCATCAAGGGGACACTGCAATGTAGAAGATGAACTGCTGATCCTACATGCCATGAGGGCCATGGGCGAGGGGGTGTCGATCTCTAGTAATGTGGTGATTTTTGTATTTGACAGGTGTTTCATGCTTGGTCCCTGGGAGAGCCACATACCTTTGCACTTTCACCTTTTCCATTTTAAAAAATAATATTTGTATAATAAAAGTTTAAAAAGTCCAAAGAATTACTTCTTCTCCTTCTCCCCCTCCCTCTCTTTTGTGTGTATTTATATATGGTTATATCTGTGTAGCCTAATATTATATATCTACTGCAGAACTGGCTGTGCAAATTAGCAGATATAGCATTAGTAAATCATCCTTTCAAATGTATGTCAGGCACAGTTGCTATTTCCGGATACTATGACATACTTATAGCTAAAGCCTTGTTGAGAAATCTCATTTAAGGAGGATGCATATTAATGATGTAAAGAGAGAATAAAAGACCAGAGGTTTTCATTATTGTCTCTATTGCATATTGCAGTGTTCTAGGAGAAGCTAGACAGAAGTGTATCTAAAGCAATGCAAAATATAGTCTACTTCACACCTTGGCCTGGTACTCCATACAGATTAGGATGTATGGTATGAAGCACTCAGGACACAGGAACTATGTTACCTTGTACCTTCAGGTCTTTCCTAATAGAATTTAGGAAGGTATACATGTGTTGTCAAAAGATGGATTAAAGCTTGTACTTTTTTGTAATATACTTCATCAGGCTTTAACTCTGAGAAACCCGTGTCAGCAAATGTCATGTCTTATTTTTTGTAACACATCTGATTCCTATTTGAGAATAATGCTTATTCATGGAGTATAGAAATTGTTGAACCATGGGGCAGTGTGGATATGTTATTGGTTTCAATTTTAGATAGTTCCATAGGTAACTGTCACCTAGCCCAATCTCTTCAATCCTGAGATTTAGCCATACCACTTTTAGTCATTGGCTTGCACTGAGTGTAGTACAGATCAGTTTCCTCCCTGAGTTCACCAGGAGGAGAAGAGGGGATAAAGAGGTGGAACCAGTTAGTAGAATGATGTAGTCTGCTTTGGACTGGTTGCTGAGTATGCTTTGCAAGCTGATAAAATTAGCACCTGTGTGAGACAGCCATAGCTTATCTGGGATGGTTTGTTCCCCTTGAGAATATGAGGAGAGAGCAATCTCTCACCAAGCAAGTAATGTGGTTGTAGGCCTTGCTGTTTTGTGAGGAAAGCTCTGCACCTGGACTACAGCCAAATATTGGTGCCCAAACAAATCATACAAGCTATGATTTCTACTCTTGCATCCAGTAGGCATTCTAGATGCTAGTAAGTAGTGGTTTCTCACCAGTACCATTCTTGGTTGATGCCACCATGTGCTGCTTGTAACCCAGAAAAAAAAAAACCATTCTGATGAGTTGACTTTGGCCTTGAAGTGCTACTATGCACTTTTCACAGACAGGCCTATGAACTTCACTTCGTCAGTGTCCTAGATACAGAAACTCATGGACTCAATATAGACATTGGATTTATTACACACTAGCCTCGGGCTTCTTTATTAATCCTTACATCCAGGAAGAGCGCACACACACTAACTAGATGCTTCCTCAGCCTGATGAAGGGTTTTAAACCTGAAAACCCATGCCTCACAGATGGCATCCCTGGCAGCTAAGTTGAGCTCACTTGGAGCCTTACAACTCTACTGCAACCAGCAAGCATCAGGCCTTTTGAAGATCTTAGCGGTCTGGGCTTTTCCCAGCCACTGTGCATGTGTGTGGTGGCTGGAGGTTATAAGGTGCCTCCTACCTGCCTTTCACCAGGGAGATCCTTGGCCCTGGCATTTCCTGGGGCTGCTGTGTCACCAGTAGTCGCACCAGGCTTTCTGACCCTGGCAGGGTGCAGTTTTAGTAGTCCTGCCTGGGGCCTCCTCCTTCCTCATACCTCCGTCCCACACCTCCAAGTTCATCCTGGCACCGAAGCTCAGCAGGCACGTGTTCTTCCCCTGCTGGTTCATGATGCAGTGAGTGCCCCCTCCAGCTCTGAGAGTGGGGCATTAAATGGTTTTTTAAAAAGGAAAACAGGAAATTGGTGCAGATGGAGTGAGGAGGGTGGCACTCACTCCATCTGCAGGTGGAGCTTGGGGACCCCCAGCAACATGAGATTCACCTTGAAGAACACCAGCTGCTCTACCAAACCAGGGTCCAAGGAGGTGTGGTGGGGTGTCATAATAACCCTAGCAGTGCTAAACACCCGTTCACTTGGAACACTGGTCAGTGGACAGGACAGGTGTTCCTGGGCAACTGTGGCCAGATCCTGCCACATCTGGCTACAGGCTGCCCAATAGGCCAATGGACCGCAGTCCAGTGGCTTCACATGCTCAGCGAGATAGGTAGCCACTAAAGCCTCAGCATTACCTGCCCGAGGTTGGGCTCTGGTACATCTGAACCCCACCATGGAAGCCATGCCCTTGGTCCACATTGCCAGTGACTGGCATGGAGGAGACTGGTGGGTGCTGGTGCTGGGAGTGCTGGCATGGGACAGTGGATACCTCTCTTCCACATCCCCTCACCTCTGCCTTTCTGCCTCCCTGACTCTGTTTACCAGCACCTCCTTCCAGTGATCAAGGGTTTTGGTGCTGCCAGTGCACATGCTCCCCTTCACGCTCAGGTTGCACATACCCACCGGCATGTGGACTGTACTGGACCAAAATGGATCCAGCTGTTTTTTGATGCCTTCCTTCAGCCACTTCACTAGTGCCTGCACCTCTGCCCCAGCCAGAAACACTGATCCCCTGGAACTTCTCCATTTGGTTTTCAAGTTCCCTCAATATGGGGATCACCTGGCTAAGGAGGGCATCACCAGACCTGAGGGTCTCAGTGGCCTCGAGGAACAGCTTGACATTCTGGAGACGATATCCTACTCCACTTTAAGTGGGCTGCTGAGCCCAATCTCCCCAAGCAAGGCCATCTCATGGATGGTCTTCTGTTGCTCCACCAGCCTTTCTAGCATCAGGTATGTGGAGTTCCATCAAGTCTCCACATCCTGCATGATTTTGTGCTGTGGGATGCTCAGTTCTGCCTGTTTCTCCTGCAGCATCATGCCCCTTGGAAGTGGAATTAGCTGCAGTGGAAGTAGCCCACCATCTTCCTGGATTTGGAAATGAGCTGGCTGGTAGTGGTAGTGGCGGCACCATCATCAGCAATCCTGTCCCCCTCCAAGGTGTCTCTGACTATAAGGTGCAGCTTGTGTGCCTCACAGAGGATGCCAACAAGTTAGCATCATGGACTGCCTTGACCATATTGCCCCTATTTTTGGAGACCATGAACCCATGGGTGAGTTC